CACCACTTCAAAGTGAGTGACACAGGGAGGTTACAGAGCTACAGAAGGGCTTCAGACTGTTATTATTACTATTATTGCTGAGTGCAGTTGTCCTAGTTTCAAGATGCAAGACTGATGAAATTTATTGCTATATTAATAACCTTCATCATATTCTTTTTTGTGGATTCCTCTTGCATGTTTCTTTAAAACCCATGAGATCATCTGCTGCTTGTTAACGGAAAGCAGTTTATTTTGAAGGAGGACGAACTGACAGATTTTTGTTCCCATGAACTGTATAAGAAATCTAACAAACCAGATGCAGATGGATCAATACAGGCTGTTCTTTATTTATCACCCTCTGTCTTCCTCACTTTATTTTTATGGCTATTAAAGATGCTATCATTGATATACCATTTTTGACTGTCTTTATATATAATGTAGATACTGGACAACGCTGCCATTGATACCCACGTAAAATGCTGGGGTACTGAGTGACCTAGGAAAGTGGTGCAGCCTGTCTTTCATTTCTGCAGCAGTAGGTTTAGCTGGGTCTGGATCTCTAGTGAGTACCATTTCTGCTACGCTTCAGGACGCGCGAGGGAAGTTTGATCTTCGCTCTGAGTATTTCTGCACTTTCAAGTGTGTTTGAGTTTTCCTTTAGATGGGACTTTAGCCAGCGAGTTCCTGGGCTCTCTGCTTCATTAAAATCATTCCCTTTGGGCTTGTGATCACCAAGAAACACAGCAGGGCTTGACTGCAGCCCTTTGATAATGCGATTTCAATTAAAACTCACTACTTGCTACAGGGGGAGTCACGCTCCAAACCGTGACATTTTGTCATAAGTAAACAACTGATAGGAGCTGAGTGAATCTGAAGTTTGACATGGTTTATCCTTGCCCGCACTGACTGACAGCATTGTGTCAGCTAATTTGGCTGCCAACAAGAGAATTAAACCTGGTTACAGAAACACGGGTGTCAGAAATGAGAGTGTCTATGCTGCAGTCCTGATTGCAACTGCTGGACAACATGGTCACCTGCAGGCCAGTTTTAAATGGTCCACCCTGGGGCTGGCAGTTGTCTGGAGGTGGGAAACCAAATTCAGCAATGACTAGTCACCCCACTACTTGGGGAGATTTACAGCCTGCCAGGTACTTTCATTTTAGGGTCTGAAATTGGACATGGAAAGCTTGCTTTTCCAGGCAAGTCAGCTCAGCTCCTGCTAAAAGCAAAGCAAAGGAGACAGACACCCTTCCGTTTATCAAAAGCAGCTTCAAAGGTACTCCTGCAGCAAGATTTGCCTCAGATGTCAAAATGAGAGTGTGGTGCTCCTGTAGGTCTGGCAGCAGGTAGCTAGTGCTGTGTAGTTGGGAAATCTGGTGTGTCGAGGCACCCTGTATTGACCGAGGCAAAGCCTGCAGATTGCGTAAGGAGAAAATGGATCCCTTTGCCCCCGGGATAAGCAGGTAGAAATCCAGCGCTAAAGCCTTACAATAGAAGGAAATATTATTCTACCAAGTCAATTCGGTAAAAACAAATGGTGTGGCATTTAAATTGGGGCATCTATCTCTAGCAACGCAGCACCTCTAATCAGTTTCTCACCTTTACATTTGAATGCAGTGAAGGCAGAGGTACCGCATTTACAATTATAGCAGATGACTTCATCCCTCTGAAATGACTTTAAAAGATTAGAATTCATAGATTATTTATTAACTCTTAGTGAATGTATTTCCAGAATGGGAACAACATATTGCATCAATGTCTAGTTCCCCAGTTTAACTATTTTAATTAAGAGGGAAATGTATACTGCTGTAAGGAACTCAGCCCACATACCACCGTGCAAGGCTTTTTCCTTACTGTTTCCTTTTTAGTACAAAGCCTTTGTTCCTTTAAAGTCAAGTTAATAACAGTGATCATAACACTGGAATCTTCCTGTGATAACTCATAAATAACAGTTTGAGCTAAAACAAGGCTGTTCAGCCAAGCCATCCAAAACAGGCAACCCAACAGTTTAATTGACCCGTTTTGATCGCGGGTGCCGGATTCACAGGTTGGCAGAGAGATTTGTGATGGAGTGGCACTGGCAGCTTAACCCAAACACTCCTGCTGCCTAGATAACAAAAAACATCTCGTGTAAGTTCATGACAGCAGCTGCAGCATATCCAGAATTGTTTTCCTTCCTTGTTGGATTTTGCAGCAAATCTCTCCCCTACTAAAGCCTTCACTTGGTTCCTGGGTAGTAAAATGACATGCCTTAGAAGTGGTAAAAAAAGACAAGATGAGCATAAACACTGTGTTCCAGACCTCCAAACCAGGTGCCAGTCCAGATGAAAAATAAAGCTATCCACAGCTAAGCGGACAAAGTTTTCCAAGGAAGGCTGAGAGGGGTCAAGTAGATGAGGAGCCAGACCCATCCGCTGCGGGAGGAATGCTGGCTCCTTCCAGCAAATCTGGAGAAAGAGATAAACACAGCCCTGGATGCCTGATGTAGCAGGTCAGCACCAGCTCCTGCCGAGCCACAGCCCCAGCTCTTCTGTGGGAAAAAGGGGGGATCAAAGTCAGGAGACAGAGTTTACCGTACTGTGATTTACTTTGACAATGTTTTGTCCCAACAGGAAAAAAAAGAAAACAACGTAATTTAGAAGCTGTCAGGACAGAATGTCACCTTTAAAGAAATGGAGATCTAATTATCAAGATATCGTTTGGGAGACCTGGTATGGAATAATTCCCAGACATGGTGAGGAATTAAACCCTTTCAAAGCCATGTAAACATATTTTTTCTTTATCTCTAGTACTTATGATTTTCAGCTAGGTTAAATGCATCAAGCTTAATCATTGAGCATTTAAAAACACACTATGTATTGGTTTTAGGCTTGGTGTAAACTGCTGTTACCTGCTAAGATGCTAAGGACTAGCTTCACTTCAGTGTTCTAATTAATTAAACTATACTTCGATGGTACCATCATGTTTATAGTGGTGAACTCAAGAGCAAAGTAGTTACCAGAAATCACCAAGATGCTCTGAATTAGAACTGCCTTAAAGCCTTGTCAAACAGAGCTTGAGACTCAGGTTCCAAAAATACATTCGTCATTTTATGTTAAAAAGAAATTTCTTTTGGAAAGGTGCTTTCAGAATTCACTGAAAATGTTGAAATGGAAGATCTTGTTCCAGAAATTTTTACCATCCTAAATTTCATCGTTTTTTCTGGAGAAATTACTTTTGCACATTTGGACAATGGTTACGACAGGCAGCCAAACTTGTGTATACTTATTAAACAAAGTGCTAAACAGCTCCATGGTTAATCCTTTGCTGGTTGCTACAAATAAAGATAATTGCACCGCTGAAAAATTACAGTTAATTACAGTTAAGAAAGGCAACTTTGGAAGCCAGTCCTGCTTAGTTTAAACCCTCATCTTTCCTCTGGGCCAAATCCCAAAATCCTTTAATGCAGTTCTTTATTTCCTCAAACTTCCTTTATCTTCAAGCTTAAATTCAGTGCAGACAACATAAGGGCTGCTGAGGTGGAGTTATGGGGCATGCTGGGAAAGAAACTCTGAGGTAGCAGTAATTTGCATGTTTAATTAACTATATAATCAGGACACTTGGGCAAGGCTTTTTTTTTCCCAAGGAAACATTCTTCACCTGTATACGTGCCATCATCGAACCCAGAAACTTCTTGTGGAGATTGTGTCTCCCCAGCGGGAAGTTCTGCCCCAAAGCAGAGAGCGGGGGGTGTCCTCCTCCCACCAGGACTGGGGGCTGAGCAGACATTTGCAGCTGCACCTTTTGCACGCAAATGGAGGGTTGTCTCCACCAGCCTCTTCCAAGGTGGAGCCATGTCCACTTCTCCTGCCCTCGTCCACGCAGAAGAAACAGTCCATTTACTGGGAGAGCTTCTCCAGTTCAGTGGTCATTACGTGAACCTTCAAATAAAATATTTGGGAAACAGGTTCTGGTCTGGATCGGGAACCTCAGGGATGTAAATGCAAAACTGTCATGGTCCAGATGGCAGCGCTGGACTTTTGGCTACTGGGGCGTGCCCTGTTGTGGGACACCATCCCCACTCCCTCCCTTTCTAACAACCAGGAGAGGGTCAGGCTCTTCTCCAGAACAGTCCAGCCACATGTGCAAGTCCTACCTCCCCCCCACTCCCCGCCCCCAAATTCGGAGCTAAAGCCCAGGCTAAAGCATTCTTATTCCTGCTAAGACAACAGCAGATTAAATAGGATGAACTGATCGGCTGTACTTCTTGTAAAGTTATCCCCAGAGATAAATGTACAATGTTGTTATGGAGGCTGTGGTGGTGTCTGCAGCGTAACTAAGGCTGACAGACTGCTTGCATGTGGGTGGCTGTCTTCTTTCCAGCTGTGACCAGCTGAATTATATCACCTGTCCCACTTGATATATTAGGATATGCCCAAACTCAAGATGCATGTTGCTGCAATAGGGAAATTAATGTCCACCACTGGAGGCAATTAATAATGATTAGGAGCAAAACAGCAGGGTTAAATCTGTGCATTTAACAAAGTGTTCATACAGCTTTTTTATACCATACTTCAGCCACTGGGTTCTCTCAAATTTCTGCTCCTTTTTTGGGGGGCTAGGACAACCTTATCTTAATTAATGTGTAAACTTAGTTGAAATGTCAAAGTTGTTTCGGTGAGACATGTTTATTCATTACTTAATTCCAGCTTCAGCCCCGGTAGAGGAAGGCATCAAACATGCCCGTGTGAAGGAGTCTATAGTGAAAAATGTTAACGTTCATTTCTGTGTCCATTTTCATTCAGAACAGCACAGCTCTAGGTATTCGTGTTTGAAGTCGCAGCATCTCTTTGATTTCTGGACTCCTCAGCTACTGTACTAAAAAGTGGCAGCAAATTGGCACATGGAAAATTCGCAATGCTCAGTTTAGTGCAACCCCTTAATTACCATAGAAAATGGTGAGTGATGGGTTATTAATTTCTCTTTTGTGGCCAAAACGTGATTTCAGATATGAATATTGGTCACCTAGTAGGAAGAGGATGCTCCTGCATATTTTAAACCTCCAGGATACAGGAAGCCTTGTGGTGTGCAGTGCTTTGTGAATCTCTGTAAGAAAACACACAGTATTGCCAACTTCAGGCATTGCAAAATTGATGATTGAGATTTCTAAACTTATAAGAATTTCCTTTTATGTAGTTTTAATAATAGTGAGATTCCTTAATAATCCCAACATTTTGAGCCCCCCCACACATTTACAGTTCTTTTCTCTGTCTTTTGATTTTTGATTGCCTTTGAAACTCTAAGGTCTTACATGTGGAAGGGGGAGCTACAAGAAAAACATGATGATTGCGGTAAACTAGGGAGAGTCTGCAATGGGGTATGTGATGTATAACCTCAAGATTTACCACAAGTCAACTTTATCACTTTGTTATATTAGACTACAGTTTCCATTAACACTGAGGGACAAGGATCATAGATTTCACCAAACTCAAGAGCCCCCCTTGGCAGTCAGGGTGGGGATGGGGACGATGATGGGGAATCACATGTAAAAAATACTCATATATACACTTTCCATGTTAGCTGTATCTTTCCAAGTTTCTTCTATGATAAAAAGGGTTCTGAGACTACTCCATTTTCTTGCCTGTGGGCTACCATTAAGTCATTTGCAGAATCCCTAAAAGTTTGCCTTCAGGCACGTGCTCTGCAACTTCAGGGTCAGTATGAATATAATGCAGAAGCACCCTTCAAAATGAAAACTTTACAAGCTCAGTACTGATATGCCTTTCAAGACCTGCAGGTTCATCAGATGCACGCTACCCAAATTAGGTTCTGGAAGTGAATGAAAATAAAGAAATTCTTTTGATTCTTGTAGATAAGGAGTCATACATTTGCTCATGTGGAAGCACAAAAAAAGATTTGTACTGGAGTTAAAAGTGATGCATTATACCTTCGATTGCAACCTAATGGTTGGTAGGAAAGCCACTTTGTAACCGTGAGATGTCAGATTTTGGGGGAGTTTTTGCATGCTTTGCTTGTTTTCATAGCGGATCAGTACAATGTTATTTAACTTACATTCAGTCCTGAACACAGAATTGTCAGACTTTCTTCACCTGCCAGGAAAAATGTACTTCTTTGGTGTTTATGATGATGAGCAAAAGAAGCCGTACAAAATGCATTTCACTGAAAATAATAAAATAGTCAAGGAGGAGAGAGAAGCTGTCAGATTACTTGAAACATATCCATTTCTGGGATAGTAATACAAAAATTGAAGTAAAAATAGAAAAGGAGACCAATAGGCCATGCCGAATGAGCTAGGCAGAGACAGCAGAAGTGCTCAGCAGACTCGACACTGCTCTCATCAACTTGGCCCAAGAGGAGTATTTGCTATTAGATGTAGACTCCTGCATAAAACATGGTGGTAATGATTACTCTGAACTGGCTCCTTCTTGTGAAGATGGAATGGTACTGACAAGACAAATGGGGCTATAAATATTATTTCAAGACCAAGAAGAGAGACCTTGAAGGGATGAGATACTGACCCAAGACATTTCCTCTCCTGTGAGAGGGAGGATTGTCATGAGGGCTTCCACATTCAAAATGTTAAGAAGTGATGATCTTTAATGACTGTAGTGATATTAATTGAAGAAGAAATCTCTGTACGGTGTGCCAGTTCTGAAGAAAGTAACTGATGACCAATAGGAGCCAAAAAAGAGAAGTTCAGGAAAAGAAACACACCTTCCAACAGTATGAAAGGAAATCTTCAACTGCTTCAAGTATTCTACCTAATTATCTGTAAATCTAGGCTCCCCTGCTGACATAGAGGGCAAAACAAGCAAGAAAAGTTGTATAAATCTTAACATGGTTCTATGACAATAATGATAAAAATAATTATAATAAAAATAATAACTAATTTAAATCTTCCCGAGGCCAATTGATCTTAAGGTAGACCTGCTTTTTGTGACAGCTATCACCATGAATCCACAGGTTACCTGCTTCATCCCAAGAAATGTATTCTTCAGTTGCTGAATTAGTCTTCAGTATACAAATGAGAGCACCGGCAGGTAGCTTTTCTATCTGAAAGTTAATTTTCTCTGCTATTATTATTTTGACTTAACTGACTTTCAGCAATTATTTATACAGACCTATCTCTCTAACCTAATCAGTTTCAACACATTCTTCTGCAGTACTCAACCTTGGATGGCAGAGGAAAAGCTATTATTTTAGACGCCGCTTTATTGGACGACAATAACAAGCGTATAGGGAATAATTGCTTAATCTTGTTGTTGGTTTTAAGCTACAAACTGTAGCAGGCTGGGCTGGACCAAGGAAAGGAGCAGACATCTGTTCACAGGTCCTCAGGCTACATTTGCTTGATCTTTCTTTATCACAGTGCCTTGATCTAAGAACAAGGGGTGCTGTGTGCAGCTGGAGGATGGAAACACTGAGATGTTTTTTGCTTTGTCTATTGATCTCAGCACGGCTGTACACGGATCTGAAGGGTTCCGGTGTGTCTCACAAATCCCAGTGAAATTGACTCTCATTTGTTCTGTTATTTGGCTATTTATTGTTACCCTTTTTTTTTTCCCCTGCGGGCCTGAACATGACACACGGGTTCACACTAGCATTTTTCAAACACTGTGCCTCTGTAGCTAATAAAGAGATGGTCAGCTAGTAGCCTGCTTTTAGATTATTTTTTTTTCTAAAAATAAAATTGTGCCAGATGTTTATTTAGAAAGCTGGTAGAACAGACTGAGAGTAATTCTAGTTTCTGCAAGTGGAAATTGGAATTCATTATTACTGGGCACTAAATGTTCGGATGCTTTTCCGAGGTCCTTAAATCTATTTCATTTCCATGTTGACAGAGATATTAGACAGCTGCTGGAAAATCTGTCCCTTCTTTCAGTGCTACAACAAGAAAGCTTTCCGTTTAACTGCCAGGGGTCAATAAAGCTCTTTAATGTACTAATCAGTGTTGAGTGAAGTGTAGGGAAGTATAAGAAGGAATTCTTTCTCTTCGATGTTTGTGTGAAATTTCCTTGGCCCTTCTAGCTTACCAGTGTCATCCCTGGCTGTGTTCGTGGGGGTCTGGAGGGCCGAAGTACATTTTTTGAAGGGTTGCCCCAAGGGCTGGGATGCAACAGGCCCGTTGGTGGCAGATGCAGCGGGGTCAACAAGGGGTTTGTTTTCTGCAGGCTTTCTGGGCTGGAGAGGGGAAGTCTCCTCGCTCTGCTCAGGGGTAGGACCAGGCTGCTCGCCCCTTCCCTTCCCAGACACGCTGTGGGGACTGGGCAACTGCATTGCGGGTTTTCTTTCTCTCCAAGTGATTTGAGGTCCTGTGCTTTTTCATGGTGTGAACAGCATCCTAGCAGAGATTGCCTTGTGGCCATCTCCTCTCTCGCTTGCAATCAAGCGACATCACTATGGAAACTGCTTGCATGGAAGAATAACATTAGGGAAGGCAGTCTGTGTTTTTAGCTCTCTTTAATGCAATATGTGTCTTAGTCTTTCCTCCCAAAAGTGGAATTAGTGTCTGGCTTTGCTCTTTATGGGAGCTCTCCCATCCCAGCTGTTTTGCTTTCCCACTTCCCCAGGCCATTCTTTCCTGACACCTGATTTTTCTTTCTCCTCAGTCTACTCTCTGAGAGTTTGCATCCTTGCTCCCTGGGTGTTTTACCCTGCCAGCTCCGCTCTCCCTGGCTGTTCCTGCTCTTCTGCTTGCAAGCTGTGCTGACAAGATCCAGGCACACTGGTGGCTTTGTCCTTAACAAAAACAGCTCTCCTTTCATTTTCTTCTTCTTATAGCACAGGAGGATGCCTAAGTGGGGCATGTCAGTGGTGTCCTCCACCTTCTTCCCAGTTGTTTCATCACAATTTTGTGGTCTTCTTAAGAAAACATGTCCAGGTGACTGCCAGAGTGGCTGCAGAGGAGAAGGACCTGGCTTCACCTGAACTTTGAGGCCAGCTTTCAGCAGGGAGTTGTGACCAGAAGGCATTTGCAGTTTCTATCTCCCAGGGTATGGAGCTGTTGCTGTAAGGAAGTGTTACTGCAGGTATACACCTGCTAAGATTATTTCCTATGAGTCACAGTTCTCATGTAACATTCAGCATGCCAATACCTAAGAGGAAGAGATTTTCTATGTCTTCATTTACCAGTCGATGTTTACATTTTAATTTTTTCACATTCCCCACATCAGGGGTTGTTGAAAGTAGAGCTTTTTACACTGCTTAGTGGCTTTCTTCAGATGTGATAGTATATTGTGAGTCTTTTTTTAAGTACTTTAATACTGTAGCCCCCTTACTTTCCTGGAAAATGAGCAGTAATTCAGAAAATATATGGCTGGTAATATATGGCAGAAAATACATGTGTGTGCTGGTGACTACCAAGGAGTAGGGAACTGACCAGCTGCTCTTCCAACCTTCAGCTCTCAGTGGTGCCATGACATAGATCCAAGCCTCCATAAAGCTCTGCGTCCCTGGTTAGCTATTTGTAAAGTATATATAGCACCTCTTTCTTGAGAGAGGAATAAGAGGGTGTACAGCTCCAATCTCTATGGATGCAGACTAGCAAAAAGTATTATTACAACTAATAAATGTTAAATGCTGTCTTTTTATGACAGATAATTTCATGAGTTCCCATTTTGAACAGAACTTATAGGGATATTTTACAATAATTTTTCAATGGGATGCTTGGCCCTCAGAATCAGTTATCTAAAGCAGCATGCAAAAAGAAAGAAATCTTTTCTGCTGGTGTATGCAATGAGCGCACTAGCACTCTGACATGAGTGTAAATGCTTTGCAATTGTTTGCTATTAAAGTTTTAAAACCGATTTTTCAATTGCTTTAAATACTTGGGTAAAACCTTACAATGGGTTGGGCAATCATTTTAGCTTTTATAACACAATGTGAATTCAGACACACGGTTATGCTAAAATCTTTCCCACTTGCGTACCTCTCACAGAGATTACAAAGGGAACATGTTATAGACAATAAAATCTAGGGGGGTGGAATTGTCATCCCTTTTCTCCGATGCCATTAAGCACAGAGACAGTGATGCTGGCCATTGCTTTGTAAAGGAAAAACAACAAGTTTACGGTTCCTCATTTCCC